TGCCAGTTTCTGACTGTGCAGTTCCATTTTGCTGTTGTATTTGAGTGCATCACTGCTTTTTATCTTTTATTTTATTTTATAGAGCCAGTTCTGGTTTTACCACTACAGAGTCTCTGCAAAAGCAGTTTAGAAAACCAAATATGTCACTTAAGTGAACAAAAAATCAATAGCACACAAAATTCTGGGAAACCCATTCTCCAGGAAACATACATCTATATTTTATCTTCTTGACTATGTAGTTCAATTATCAGCTTTGCCAACTTCTGTTAGAGACACTTTCCTGGCTCTCCAACTCATTCCTCATCAATTCCTGATGCTCTTTCTATCTTAAATGATTGTACAGCTCCCCTCTCTCCTACTTTTCTGCTGATACCCACTTAGATTTTGACACTCTTCATCCTTAGTTTTACTCTGCTTATAAAGTGCTGCCACTGATTTTGATGGAAAAAAACTGTGATTATCTCTATATATGTTGAATAGGTAACAATCCTTCTCATCAGGAGTGATATAGAAGTTAGTTGAGCAAAGATATTGCGGCTGTGAACAAAACCTGTGTGTAAAAGCACCTTTTTGTCCACATGTCAACAAGAGCTGGATTTCAGCAAATTCTTTGCCTCTTGAGCTGTGCTATATGATTTTAGCAGGGTTTATTGATGTAGCAAAAATGGTATTTATCACCCAGTTTGGAAGATAGCTGTAGGAAAAACAGTGTCATTTACCCCTTCCAGTTTATTTAAGTGAACTGGCTCATCTAAAATCATAACTGTGACAATTACAAGTGAATCAAAGCCTAAATCCTTTCTGGACTTGAACCTTGAATGGTGTAAAGAAGCACAGTACCTCCCTTGTCTACGGTAGACCTGCACACACATCTGCATAGGACCTGTTTTGTTGGTAATGTGGATGGCAAAATTCCTTGTGAGGAAAAAAATCAGGTTACCCGTTGAACAGCACAGACGTGCTGCTGGGCAAAAGCTGGAGACTATGGTTAAGCCAGAAATATTTAAAAATGTCACTTCATTGGTGTTTTATTAAAAGGTCATCTGGCATGTTAAATAATGGGTGATTTCTGAAGGCAGTATGTGGAGATAAAATGGACACTTGACATGGTATGGAACATGCACAGCTAGTGTTATTTCCCTGGATGGACCCATTATAATATTTGCAAAATGAATGTTCTCACCAGGTCTTAATCATCATTTGCCCAGGTGAACTGCTAATTAAGCTTTTTAAGGTCAATAGGTGGTTTTCTTGGCATGCTCAGGAAGTTGTACATCGAAGTTGTACATCTGCACCTTTTCAAACCAGCATCCTGGGTATCTACAGTAGACAGGCAAAAGGTTTCTGAACTGTTCAGAGCCTGATGGTGATCTTAAAAAGTGACTGCCTGAGCTACTTTCTTGTTTCAATTTCTGTAATGAGTTTCTGGTTTTAATTTAGCAGAAACATGAAATTCAGTGCACTGATGGGGCTTGTCTAAGACTCTTGACACAGACATCTTCTTTATCTCCCTCACTTTTGGAGCTGTTCATTTCCTCCTCAGAATTACAAGCCCTCCTTACAGAAGGGGTCTTGGAAAAGGCAATAAGTGCTATCAAAGATCTACCTGAGAAAGGCAATAAGTGTTATCAAAGATTTACCTGAAGAATAACATACTATTCTGGCCTCAATTAGAGAATGGGCATCAGTTTAGTTCCCTTCAGAGGAAGCATTTCTTCCATCTCTACTTATGAACACGAGCAAAATTGCTGTTTCATCTCCCTCGTGGTATCTGTGATATATAAGACATCTCAAAGGAAATTTACATCAGCCTGTTATGACTTTATACCTCCCCCATCAAATAATGGCCTTGAGCATGGAACAGAGACCTGAGGGAAATATGACAGAGAAGGAAGAGAGCCAAGCAATTAATAATATTTATAATACTGCCTACGTTCAATAACCTATGATAAGGTTAGTTCCTTTTTTTTTCTTCATTATTTCTCTGCATAAAAGCTGCTGCATGATGTCAGTACATATATGTGCATAGAAGAAGTATGGAAAAGACTCGTTTCAGAGTCTGTGTCTATTTACAATTTAATTTATTATATTTTACACTATACACTATGAATACCCAGGAAATCCCTGTGCTCAGTGATATCTAGGTCTTGCACAGCTAAAAGTACACAACAGAAAACTTGGGCATTTTACTGGCAGGAGACCCATTTGCTTAAATTAGCTTAAAGAATTGAGAGAGAGAGAGATAATTACTACAAAATTTATGTGTGATAAAAAGATATTTTGTGTGTTCACTCAGGTGTAGTTTTCTCAGGTGTAATTACTGAGTTACCACACCATCACGCACATAATACTGGGAGAAAGAGATAGCAGGAAAAACAAGAGGGATCACTTGAGCCTATTACTTTAGTTAATACGAGATAAGGGAGGTGCTCCTTGGCATGGCAGGGCCAGAGGCTGGCTTAGAGGACAGAACTGTTGATGTAAAAAGTCAACATGTCAAGTTACACTGCTAAGTGGAGCTGATTTTATGGTGGGCTTTTCACACAGGTGATATTACCTAGTTTTTAATTACTGCAGACAGAACGTCTTAACATAGATCCACTGGAGGACATATCAGTTGTCATTTTGTTGGTTCCAGTAAGTGCTCCGAGGTCCCAGTTGTTACTGTCTGTGAAACATGCATTGTAAATCTTATCCTATGTGAATATCCTTGGTTATTGATTCTTCTCTGAACTTGGCAGTCCTGTCAATAAATAGGGGGGTTGGTGGGGGTGGTGGTGTAAAGGAAGAATTAAAGGAAAATCAGTGTCCTTGCCTTATTCAGTAACCTGAACAGTTCTTGGGAAAGAGTCCAGTACAGGCACAGTAGCATGGTTAATTAAAGCAGTAACATCATTAGTATACTAATTCAGTAGTGTGTAGATGTTTGGTCCATGTATATCAGGGACACAGTGTAATTGTTACCCTTCTATTCTTGGTTTTTAGTTTTCTGGAACTACGTACAAGCTGAGGTAAAAGTAGAAGTGGTAAATAAGTCAACTAATACCTGAATTAAAAGACATAAAATTTTTTAGGGAAGACTTTTTAGTGCCAGAAAGAGCACAATATTATCAGGTTATTTGGTCACTAGAAACCTGAGGAAGCTGTTCTGAGATGGCTAATGTATGGGCTTGGATTTCTGCCAAGGAGCCACTGGGATCCATAACGAGGCAGAGGATTTTGAAAACTCCTTATTCTCCTGTACCCACACAGACAGATTAATGTGTGTGGGTCAGGTTTCTCTCCAGTCCGACACTGCACCCTGGCTTATTACTTTACATTGTAACTCCAGCAGGGCAGTGCCACTGCTGACTGAACTCTTTAGTCTGTTGCAAATTGGGAATGTTATTAAAAAAAAAAATTTTTTTTTACATTTTTTTCCCTCCTGTTATTCAGATTTCATTAGTTAATTGGATGCATGAGGTACTGCATAGAGCTACAGAATGATGCTGAACCTCTGCTCCAGTCTCTGTCCTAATTTGTATGGAGCAAGATTCTCCCAGTGTTTCTGCTTTAGAGGTCACAGAAAAAAAACAATGCTGCTGACATGACATTCCTTTTTCAACACTATTAAAAACAGGAATAATGAAAATTTCAACACCTCACCCACTGCTAATGTAAATAAAGTATCATTCACTGTGTCCCACACTAAGTACATTTAAGAGAAGGATTTGAAGTGTAATGTGTACATTAAATAGCAAAAGGCAAAATGTGCCCTCGTGCATACACAGATTCTGCTGAAAGACTCACAACCAAACAGGAGCAAATTTAGGCCCCTGTTAAATCATAGTAGAACTTGATACAGCGCCTGCAAGAATTCAAAGCGCTTCAGTCAGAAGACTGTTATCTTACTTTGGAAAAGCAAAGCATCCAGACTGTGGTCTCATGCTTGCAATCCATGATTTAATGAGTGTTGTATCACACAGGACAGTATTGTCAGGGTTCATTCATAGTGAACATAAAAATAGGTATTGACACTGCAAACACAGTGTGAGCTCACCTCACTGCTTCAGGAATACTACACTCATTGTGGGCTTGTGGAAGGAAACTTTGGGATTTTCTCATGGAAACATTGAAAAAATATCGATTAAAGCAAAATCCTAAGTCCATCTTCACTTTACCTTTCGGGACTGAGACTGGATTAGGAGTTCTGATGATTTGCAAACAAAAAAGAGCCCAGGGCCACTTGGAGAGGCTGATAGCATGCTGTCTGAGAGAGTGATGAAGATCACCAAACTCTCCAGAACTTAATCATTCGTGCCAATGAAAGCTGACAGAGTAATGCTTTTTTTCAAACCTTAAGGTTTCTCAGAGGTGATATCTAGTCCCATACATCTCACAGGCTATCCTCAGAGCTGGCCCTCTGAGTCCTGATATCTTGCACATGGATACAGGGACATGCAAGGACTATTCCTGCCTTGCTCAGACATTTCCCCCTTGTTTTCCTCCCATCAGAAGGCAAAAATTGAGAACACATTCCATATTCCCCTCTCTTAAAGGATCCCTGCTGCTTAGAAAATCATGTTACTTCTCTTTCGGAGAAGAAGCTGTTACTGGTTGTTACTTCTTACTACTAATGGAAACCCGATTGGGCAGCTCCATAAGGAGAAAATGTATTCCCCAGCTGTTCTTTATTTATGTATTTTCCACTGGGAAGCCTGCAGTGTTTGGGACTGATGCTTCCTGACATCAAAGTGTTTCTGATGAAACCAAATAGTGCCAAGCACAAATTTTACGAGGATTTTGTTTTGTTTTATTTTATTTTATTTTATGTTATGTTATTTTATTTTATGTTATTTTATGTTATTTTATTTTATGTTATTTTATTTTCCCAAAATTTTCTACTTTGGTTCCTTCCAGAGGTCACCCTGTGGATCCCAAGCGCACGGCTGCGGCAGGACAGCAGAGGGAGATAGTGCTCAAAGGAGGGGGAAAGGCACAGCCTTCCTCCGGGACACCCATGGCCGGGGGCGGCAGCCCAACAGCATCCCGTCCATCAGAAACGAGCAGTAATTGCGTTTCCATGGCTTTGCTCTCCCGTGGAGGAGCACTGGTGTGGGTAAGTGGCAGCAGGTTGCCTCCCTGCCCTTCCCCGTTGGCCAAGAGCAGCAGTGGCCATCCCGAAAAGGGTCCCCGTAACTTCGCCGGGTGTCCTGGCAGCGATCCAGCAGCCTCGTTGGTGATTCCTCTCAGGCAGTGACCTTGCTGGGTTACAGCAGCATGCTGTACTGACTTTATTAAGGCGTGCCCTTTATTGAGAGTGTGTTTAGTGCATGTGTTGGGTCTCTAATTAAAATGCTAAAATATGGTTCCAGGAGAAAGTTTAACAGATTATTATCTTTCCTGCACAGAAGGAAGAGAGGGCTAGGACATATCTGTTTAAAGTGACTGTGCAAATGACATTTTGATGTCCCATATTTATTGTACTCTCCCCCCAGTAACTTGCATATAAAAGGCTGGATTATACCAGCCTGCCCCAGGAAGAGGTCGGAGAATGAACCTGGAGTCATGAGCACTCTCTCTGGCTACCCAGCCTTCCCCCAACACAGAATCACACAGAATCATTTAGTTTGGAAAAGACCTCCAGAATTATCCAGCCCAACCTTTCCCCCTGCTTCCCGTGGCTGGGATGCCATTTTGATCAGGATAACATCAAAGCCTTATTCTTCCCTGCTGAGCTGTGTGTCTGTGGTAGTGTGACTCTTGGTCCCTTCTTTTCAAGTAAGCCAGAGAAGGATCGATAATGTCTCATCTGGAATCCAAGCTCTAGTTATAATTCACCTGTCCCACTACTGGGACAACTTTCTACTAGGCCAGCTTTATGCAAACTAGCAGTTAAAAAACAGTGAGAAAGAGAGAAAGTATTTTCAGACCATTGGGCAGGGAATGAAAGTGAAAGCTTCTCTGATGTCAAAGGGAGCAAGAAAACATGTTTGGCTCTACATCTGGAGATACATTTTTCTTCAAATGTATATACAATGCATGCTTCAGAATATAACTTTTCATTAGAAACTGTGGTTTAGAATGGAACTGAGACCACTGAAACAGGAGTGGTACAGGTAAATGAAAGGTTTATGCAGATTACACTAATCTATTCATTAAAGAAAACTGTAATTGTAGGAGACAGCAAGGCTATAAGGAGTGTTTCAAGAGGACTGATAATTTTGAAGATTGCTGCAGGCGAAGAGACAAAGAAGAGTTTGGAGGAAAAACAGTTCTGGATGGGTGAAGCGAGCATCTGATGGTGCAAAGTCTGGAAAGAAGAAATAGGTTATTGAAATATTGAAATATTCAATAACCTATTGAATAGGTTATTGAAAATACTTAGAGATACAGTAAAAGAAACTGCAGCTCATATGTTGAAGAAGCTCACGAGGGAAGAAGATACATGTGAAAACTCACAGTAGCTCATGGTACTTACTGGGGGAGGGGGCAAGACATGGGCAGGAGGAAAAAAGATGAGTCTTCAGTGTGAGGAAAGCTGACAGTGGCCTAAAGCATACCAGGCAGAGCTAAAAGCTAATACTGGAGAGGGCTTTCAGTGAGAATTGGGTCTGCTGAGGGCAGGACGAGAAGGCAAGGATGCAAACTGTAGAACAAACCAGGGGTGAGGCCAATGGAAGGACCCAGGGGAAATGAGATAAAACGATAAAGGGATTTGGAGAGGAGAAATATCATCTGCAAAGCCAGGAAATGTGGGAGAGCTTTAAGGAGATAGTGTCCTTAATTTTACTCCTACAACCCTGCAGCAAGTATTGCAAAGGGGACATACCAGAAATCTTTATTCATTGGTAATCTCTAACTGTCATAATGACCCCTTGGAGGTTTTGGCAAACTCCAATTTAAAATAGCTCTGAGATACACTGACATTAAAAAAAAATGCAGCATAGTTTCAAGAGATCTTAAAACTGCCCTAAATCAATGAGGAGTCTTCACCTGCAACTCAGGGTCTGGAGCTCAGCTGTGTATTTTGGTTTCTCCAAGCATCTCCTGGTTTTATAACCCGTTAATCCAGTGATCCCCTTTCCTGAGCAATATCACCCAAGGTAATGCTGGAGACATGGAGGTGAAAAGGAGGGTGATTTAGTGCTTTCCTGCCAAATGTGTATCCATGTAATGCGAGGGCTCATTACATGGATAGCCATCCACTGTTACTAAGCTATCTGACCTAAGCAGGGGTTTGCCTCCCTAGTGTAATGGCTCTTTCTGGCCTGACCATTTATGAACATGAATCTATAGTCCTCTGGTATCTGTGGCGTCCTTGTGCCTGCAGGTTCATAGCACAGGCTATTTTCAGTGACTCCAAGAGGTGGATAATTCCCACAAGAGAGTTAAACAGAAGTCCTGTTTCTTACAGTGATGTTTATTAGGAGGTTTTATGCATCTCAGTGAGGAGGAAGGGAACCAAATATTGCAGGTGAAACATATCTTGAGCTCAGCTGAGTGCAGCTGTCAGCATTCTGCAGGTTTGAAGCCAGGCTACTGTGTGCTTCTCAGTGGTCCTGGGGCAACCAGTGCTGAATGACAGATCAAGTCCTCCAAGGAGTTCTGGTGCTATGAGTGACTTACATGTATTTATCAATTGTCCAGAGATACAGGAAGACGGTGAGGTGAGTTGTGGCTTCCAGAGTGTGCCACAGTTTGGGTATACACAGATACCCACAGAGCTCAAGGTCTCAAATTAAATATGGAATGCTCGAAGGATCCCTTTTCTCCTGTGTTCCAGGTGAATCTAAATGCTTCCACAAGCACTGCTTCCATCAGTCAGGAGAGCTGGATATAGAGCAAAAGGAGAGAAAAGGAAGGAAAAACAGCTGGTTATGGCTGTTTAGAATATGTTTGTGCATATGTGTCTCCTTTTCCAAACACTTTGGGAAGAAACAGTCTGCAACTGAAGTCGCATCAAAAGTCTGATTCAGAGCGCCTAATCAGGTAACTTTTACTTACCCTGGTGAATGATTCAGTGGGATTGTGCATGTGAGTTCACAAATTCTTTATGCAAGTACAGGAAGAAAAAGAAGGAGAGAAGTTGCGCTTTAGGTCCTTGCTGGTGTAAATCATTCAGATTAAGTCAGTAAGAGATACCCACTTTCACTGGTTGCTTATCTGATGACATTTCGGAAGAACATAGGAGATAAAAATATTAAACGAGAAAAACCACAAAGTTGTGGTTATGGCATGTCCCTTCCTGACAGTGTAGGGACAGAAAAGAGAACTGAAATGGTAACTATTCATGAATTATGTAAATGGTGGATATTTATTTTTCTGTTTGTTACTTCATGAATTGACTTTGGAAGACATCCCTTTTTCTCACTCTTCCTTGTTTTAAATTATTTGTCCAATTCTTCCTGCAAATAATTCACATTTTAACTCATCTGCAAGCAGCATAGTGGAAGACTTCTGAATGGACCTGTGGGTCTTTTAGGGTCTGTGAACTACCTTCTTTTCTTCTCTCCCATGGACTTTACAGGGATCAGATCATCAGCATGAATGATGGATGCACATTAAAAAAAAAATTGCCATTGAATACCCATGAGCTGCACTTGCTTTTTGATTTTCACAGAAACAGATACAATTCCAACTGGGAAATGTCAGGTTCTGAAAGGCAAAATTTTTTCCGAGAGATGAGGGCTCTGGAAGCCCGTGTCCCAACTGAGTTCAATGAAGTGTTAATGATGCAAGGGGGGACAGAGAAATGTTCTCATCTCCCTAAGGAGGTGGTTCTCCATAACCAGCTTTTAAGGCCAGAACCTCCTTCACTACAGTCAGTGAGATCAATAGTCAATGCAAAGGTGCAGGAAAAAAAAAGTGTCTTTGCTATTTTTCAATCTTACTTTAATATTTGAATTCGAGCCACTTCAAATGGTCTGGGGTTGGTTTACACCTTCTGAAGTTACAGGTAAATCAAGCAGCTGGCATGGATTTGGTACATGCTCCCAAACTGGGAGACTCTTTAAAAGGATAGGGCTTGTTTACAGCACTGAAGCCTCTGCTCATGGGAGGTCATCAGAGCCTGCCCTTTCAACAGAAACAGCTAAATCGAGAGGGTATAGTAAAAGCTTCTTTGAGCCAAAAGAGGGTACTTTAAAACTGTCTAAAATTTGCAGTGTGTGCTTATCAGCCCTTCTGCCACATGGAAATTGCTGTGTCTCATTATAACATTTACAGTTCTGTCTGTCTAACTGGTTGTGTCAGCAGGGAAAACACCAGGCGAGCAGGCACTGGAACGCCTTCGAATGCTGACCAGGAATAGAAACACAGACACTGGTGCCTCTGGAAAGTGATGACCCAGATACTTTCCCACTGTGTAATTATCAGTCAAACATATAAATGCAAGATTTATATCACCTGGATATGAATTCTTATGGCTTTTGCTGTCACAAATTGGGGTGATGTCGTCACACAAATGATGCAGTTACCAAGTAGATTTTAACAAACCAGCATTTAACAAGGGAAGATTAATGAACTATTCAAAAACTGAACTTTTATACATACTGTTTATACAGGAGTAATAAAAAGAAAAAAAAATGGGCTGCCAGAGTACTGATGGCATGCAGAATATTGAAATAAATAGCTGATGATGCAAAAAATGCTGAGAGAGGAGTTTATTCAAGCCCTGCATCATCACATGCTCGTATCATTGCTCTGGAGCTGTGTCACACCTCAGCTGCCTGTACAGTCCCCACGACTGGTTCTTGCCATCGTTACTCTGGAGCTGCTACTCCTGACCCCACTGTATATATAACATGGGGGGAGTTGTTCTGTCAAGGTAACAGGATATTAGTTGAAAACAAGAAGCTCTGAATGTTTATTTGTGAAAAGAACAGTATGTTCACCGATCTGAGTAGTTGATAATTGCTTTCTGTAATGTCTGTCTTCAGCAAGCCTCATTCCAAGGTGCCCGATACTGCCTAGTACTGGGAAGTACCTCTAAAATTAATATTAAAGTAATTACTTAAAAAAAAACCCTCAAACAACCAACCCTACATGCTATATATAATACAGCAACAAAGCAAACCTAACACAAAACATGAAAACTTCAACATTTGTATTACATCTTCCTCCCCAGAATCTCAAACTCCTTGCTAAGTGTGGTCATTCTAAACATCTTTGGTATTTTTAGTTGCTTTGTTTTCTCTGAATACTGAACTGACAAATTTTTTTTCAGATTCACTACTGTGTTTGTATTGCAACAGATACTTAAAAATCTCTATCTTCAGATATGTATATATTTTATTCTCTTTTCAATACTGAAATTCCTGTACTTTGGAGGTTTATTGTTGCTGCTACTGAAAAATATTCAATATGATCTCAAAATGTCTTGGAACAGGACATGAGCTAGAAATCCGCAGTTGGTGAAATAAGGATATAGTCAGTGATATAGCGTTACATAAGCAGGAATTCTCCAAGGACATTTCAATGAAGTCCTCTGTTGCTGTGCACAAGATTATTAATGATCACAAGTGGTCAGAATGTTTTGCATGGTCAGGAACGGGATAGAAATAACACTCAGCATTTTTATTTTGACAGTGGGCTAGGATGGAAACATGGTTTGTGTTAAGAGTCTATCCTTACTGTAGTAGATCAGAAATCTATTGATCTATTGATTCTTCTGCAAGCAAGTGAAGTACAATGTCTGGGGAACAGTGCAACCATCACGCTGAGCTTGAGAAGCAAAGGTTTATGACACTCTAGAATATACTTAAAAGCAAGAAGAGGAGATCTCTGAGAGGAAGTGATTGCAGTTCTCTGGAGTGACTGAAGGGTGTGTGATAAGCAGAATCCCTCCAGAATAATAAGGGGAGGCCGGAAATGGGAATCACATTCTTGTTGGTGTGGTATTTTCCTAACCACATGCTTCTAATGAAAATTATTGTGGCAGGGTCACTGAAAATCAGTTTAACCATATGGCAGGCACGGGGGTTGCTTCGTAATGCGTGGGTTTGCCAAGGATTAGAAATCTATTAGAGAACAGATTTAGAATTCCATTGAAGAAAGTAATGAACTGCATTTCAGTGGAGAGAAAGTAATCTCAGATAAGCAGAGAGCACAGTCGGTTTGACAGTGGTGAGTGTTGAAGAGGTTCAAGAGGTGAACTAAAAGTCACACAAAACCACTGAGGAGATAAAGTGAGGTGAAGTTCTTTTATTTGTTTATTGTGCTGTGGATTTCTTGAGGAGGAGTTCTGCAGATGAAGTGCCTGCAAGAGCAGCTCTATTAAAAGCAACTCTCAAAATACTGAACACACAGGGCTAAAGGAGCGCTTAGCTAAGGAGCAGATAAAAAGGTGTCAAAAATCCTTCCAATGAAAAATTAGAGGCTAGTGAATAATGCTGTTTCTAAATGTTCGGTGAACTATTAGGAGACCAAAATTATATGTAAATTGACTCAACAGGATACAGAAAATCTATCACGTTAGATGGGAGATATTTTATATCTCCAACGCCTGAAAGGAGACCAATATGGTATCCCAAACTTTCATTTTGCAAACCAGAATCTAACCCCCAAAACCCTAGAAGGAATCTCTGTCTCATTATAGAGTGAACTGTAAACAAATAGTGATTCTGGTTCAGTTTCCTCATGTATTTGGATATGATACCTGTGTTTCCCGTGAAACTGCATAAATATTCTTTTTTTTTTTTTTTTCAAAATAAAGAGCAGTACCACAGAAATCAGTATGCAAACAGAGCGTTGCTTCAGTATCACTGCCAGGCTGCCCTGGATTCCAGACTTGACGTGTCATGAGAATTTATTCTCTCTGCATAGCATGTATATTGGGCCTAAATTAGCTGTCAGCATAGGTGGATACTTCACGAGAAGTGAATTTTTACCTTTTGTTTCTCTGTGCTATGGGAAACATTAAACTCTACGGGGGTGGTTTGCTTTCTTCTCTGCCCACCTATCAGCAGATAAAAAAGTGAGCCATTTCTGGGTGTGCCTTTGTTTCTACCATTCCTGAGTTCATGCTGCATAAAGGAAACCAAGAAAGGCCATAATATTTTGAGGTATAATTTGCTGTTTATCTTGAGTGGCATCTTATAAGATGCCCTTCCATTCATAGACCTGTAAGAGTCCACAGAGACCCCCTATAAGGGGGGTTATTAGCTCACAAACTATCTGACCTGGGATTCAGGGGTCTTAGGGCCAATGTTTGGCTCTGATTTCTGTGTCACTTCACACAAATCATTTAATCATTGCACATGCCTGTTCTGTGTCAGTTGAATTGATCTGCAGTGTGGAATTTATCCACCCTGGAGGACGCACGGTAAGAAAGTATTTAATCTCAGGGTAGTGAGATCAGCCACCCACAGGCCTTCTTGCTTGGCCTTTTCCCCCATCCTTTCTTACAAGCAGTAGCTGATAATTTCTTACCCACTCTCAGGCTTTTTTACTGGTTTGGGACGGATATTTTGGGCTTTTTTCTTTTGGGGGTGTGCGCATGGATTTGGTTTGTTGGTTGTTCTTTTTACCTTGTATGTTGATGCATTATTTTCTTTCCATTCACTTTTACCATTAGTTCTTTCCGGGTGTTCTCTAATTGCATGGTCTGGCCCCACTAAGCTGCAACTTAGAATCACTTTTAGCCTTCAGTTTACAGAACAGTGTATTAACAGTGCAGTGTTACAATGAAATCTGCTTCTCCATGCTTGTCTCCTCCTACTGCAAAAGAATTCCATTTGTGTTTCCATTCTACAGTCTTTCCAACTTAACAGCTTTTCTCTTCCAGCTCAACAGCCCCATGCCTGTAGCCTCACTCATATCCTTCCCACCTTGTATCCCCCTTTGAAACCTTCTACACCTTTACTCTCGACTTCCCTGGGCATGTTGGTAGCAATTTCTTCCAGTGAAAACTGTATGTACCTTTCCCCTTTGAAATGACTATTTGACCGTCACAGATTGCTTTACAGTCTTTGTAAAGGTTCTGTGTCATCATCTCCACTGATTCAGGTGCAAGTTCCTGAGTAATGCTCCTTCTCTAATCACCTCCAGTTGCCTCAATACCATCCTGTTTTGTCCTCAGTCTGTATCTATATGTTTCCCCTATGTTACCCACTCTTTTCTTTTAGATGCTCCAGCTTTTTCTTCACAGTACAGTCATGCTTTGGCCTTTCTTAATAAAAATTGCTTGTGCACCCTTGGATTCATGTGCCTTTACATATTCCCTCTTTCTTCTTTTAATTTCTGTGTAATCGAAAGTGTGATTTAGAACTCTGAAGGTTTCCTTTTCCAGTTATATCTCACTTTTCTCCCCCTTTTACTCCATCAGACCCGCCCAATGAAGTTACTAAAACCTCAGAAATGGCCAGGGCTGTTATTCGGGGCTTATTTGCCTTGAAACATCAATTACATTCATATCGAGTGTCAACCTTTCTCATGATGGCCATCGTTCTTGGCAATGATCCCAATAAATATCTGAAATTTTGTCATGTTTGTTATCTTAGCATGTTTCAAATCTTCTTTAAAATTCTTGCCCATAAAGCCATTGGTGATCCAAGTCCTCCCTGCCATGCTGACCAGCACTGATTCACAGTTTTCCATGTGCAGATCCATGTTAACTATTAATGTCTCTCATATTGCTCTGGTGACAGTAACTGTCTTACTCTGGATCTGTGTGTAGCCCAGTCAGGTCTTGCTCCATAATTGCTGCTTTAAGTGCTACAGCAATAGTAATAACATTAATAGTAGACAGAATCCTATTGACATTCAGCACTGCAATCAACACCTTCAAAAATGCTTATAAATAGTACAGAGAAATTATTGGCAGGAAGGTCAGATGATTTCTAGGTTGCTTAAATAACAGAAAACAAAATTAAATTCCTCTTAATGAGTGTGGCTTGCGTCTGATTTTCTTGGATTAAAACAGATTAACCCACTAAACATATCTTCAGATCCTGATTCAGTTATTTCTTTTCCTGAAGCTAAAAGATGTTTAAGTCCTTCTTGTATTGATTCACTATTTCCCTGTCACTGTGACAAACAAGGATATAACAAAAGAATTTGGCAAAGAAGGGGTTAGAGGACAGGTTGCAGCCACTTGATCTGAGTGTTTAATCAGAAGGGTAGTCAGGTATGGTAAGCTGACTCTCCTTTTTACACTAATAGAAAAGGATGTGGGCTGAACTGCTAAAAAACAAGTTTTTCAAAAGAGAACTCCCAAGAGACAAGGATGGAAATGTGTTTTTCTCTGGTGTGTGGCCAAAGATTTTAGTGTGAATATTGGATTATGCAAGCTGTTATTTATGTCTAGCAATGGAATAATCAAGACCTCCCTTACTCTTACATTTTTCTGCTGCCCCATAAAGCCAATAACATTTGCATGTCTCTCCATCCTTGCTTTGAAGAGCTTCACACTTCATCTAGATCCTAATTACATCATTAAGAAAAAGTACTCTTTCTCTCAAGCCCGGTAAAATCTTTACCAAAACAGTGTTCTCTAATTGTATTTCTCATGCAGCTTCTTACCTGAACCTTACAAACTGGGCTTTGAATGACCCCTGTTTCTTATGCAGCCATCTCCTGTTCTTCCTAGTGGTTTTCTTGTCAACAAGAGCTGTTTCTTTCCCAGCTCTCAACTATTTTGCATTTCTCAACAAGGCAATCTCACAGACTATCTCGGCGTGACAAAGTTAAAATATGATAATCTCTTTATCAAACTTCTAATTTGCAAACCCCTAACCCAATGTGTATTTGTAGAATCACTTATGTCGTTGTGGCTGAAGGGTAGGACCCAGCACTTCACCTTCTTGAACCTCATACCACCATCCTCAGCCCATGGATTCAGATCCCTATGCAGGGTCTTCCTGATGTCCAGCAGGTTGACACTCCCAACCAAACTGGTTTGCCCTGCAAACAGGCTGAGGGTGCACTCCATCTCCTTCTCTAGATTATTGATGAAAATATTATACAGAACTGGTCCAAATACTGAGCCCTGGAGAACATCACTAGAAACTCAGTCCCAGCTGCAGTTAACTCTATTCAGCACCACTTAGTGGGCCTGGCCATCCAGCTAGTTTTTTATTAATGAATTAATATTCTCCTATATTGATAGTGTCCCTATTACCTATGCATTTTCAGTGTATATTTTTGCTTTTTAAGGTAGAGCAAACCCCAGCTTTAGGGATGACTGGAGCATTTGTGTGGTTATTTCCAGCTTTTTTCTTTATGGCTATTACAGCATATTGATTATCAGAACATAATGGTGGATGGATTTTTAGTAAATTAAAATTTTCTCTGTAGTCCCAGATCTCAATGTGACTGTAAGATTATAGAGATATTATCCAGGTAACAAGGGAAAAATCAAAGAGAAATTCTGCCTTGAAAATTTTCCACCAGCAAACCTCCCAAAATATATTTTCCTTGTATTTTGTTAGTCAGGTAGTCGAATTTTCCCTTCCTTCACTTTTTTTGAAGCTCACCAGAGAACCACAGGGAAACTCAAAGGACTTGGTGTTAACCTCACCCAGGGACTGAAGTGTCCCTCCTGGCCTCTCATATCCATCTGGTTTTGCTTTCAGGAGGGGTACAGGCAGAAGGCATCTTCTCCTGTAAGAAGGGACTGACACATTTGTACCCTTAGAGGTGCATTCTTCTGGTGGCCTGCAGTTCATACCCTTTGTTCCCTCAGTACAGGGAAGTTGTAGCTTTCATCATGCTTCACCACCAGCCAGATCCCTCCAAAAAAGACTTGGCTTTATCCATCCATCCTGCAAAAATATAGGCTTTGGGCTAAATGGCAAAAGGATAATCACGGTCGTGTAAGTAGTCACTGAAAACACCCTTGAATTTCTACAAAGCCTTTTCTGAAGAGAAGGCTGTGACTCAAGGTTTATAGTATTTCTTGGCGAGACGTTTTTGAAGTCTGTAAGGTCATGCAATCACAAAGTGGTGCAAATGTAAAGGCCTGACAGAAGGGAAGGTGTTATTTCCATACATAGCATCTTGCTACCAAGGCAGGACTATGTGGGGATTGTACAGTTCTTCATACACTGAAAATGCACTTCAGTCTCTGATATTCATTGCTGGGTCTCCATCTCTAATGAACAGTCCCTTCAGGCAATATTTAATTGGGTAGTACAGTAATTTTGTGATCAAGATATAAATTCATTACAGACTGGATTGTGACTGACAAACTCATTTCACCTATGACCTAAACTGAATATGAACTCAACTCTTCCCAGGTAGGAAGCTGGTGTATAAAATTGTTTTCAACTGACTGCCAGGGGATTTAGAGTGCACATTTTTAGTGGTTTAATCTGGGATTTAAACCTGAAACCAGTTATTAGAAGAGCTGTTCAAAACCAAGATATACAGATAAAGCATATTTTTTTTTTCAAAATGGGATCACTTCACAGAACTTTAGTGTTACCAAAATAGTGCTTTTGATGGGACAGATGGAATGATTAATTTTTATCTTAGCATTGAAGTACATGGCTGTACTATTTATCAGAAATATGTTTACAGGTTATGTTCTTGACTATCCATTAAAAGTACAAAAGCTAAAATAAATGTTACAGTGCACACAATGTGTATATTTTTGTATGTTTTGCTCTTGATTACTGATTCAGCAGTTTTAAAAGATACTTTCCATGAAATGGAATACAGACAGCACTAATGGCAGATGTTGGTCAACTTCTTCTTTAAAACAAATCCCTAAAAATTTACCACAGCTGGAAGGAGATGGAATGGCTTCCTCAGAGACTTTAATATGTTGAAATTAAGCAAACCAAAAATTACTTTTATGCTGTGCAGTTAATAACTTTTAATAATCATTAAAATTCTCTCTTTTTTAACAGAAATTAAGAACTCTCTAGCTTCATGGCTGGGTGAACAAAGACCTTTCAAGAACATTTCTCTGCTCTTTGGTAAGTTTATTGTCTTAATAGATATTCCCATTGATCACTGTTTGCTTTACATTTTTCACTTCGTATTTAAAATTGACATATATTTGAATACTTACCATTATATGGTCAGTGGAGCTATTCATTTAATAGGTCAAATAATCATTATATTTCACTGGGAGGCTGGGGTTTAATTCATTTAACATTTTAATCTTCCATCAGTTTTTCCTTTAAGAGGATTTCAGTGCATATACAGGATTTGTATAAATCTGTGCAGTAAATTTATTCTTTTAACAGTTTTATTCTTTCATCAGAAATTCATTTAAATGGATTCTACTATATATCACATTCACTGCCAGTGTGGCTTTAGGTCAGGCTGTAATTGATGCAAAAGCAATGAGGTATTAAAAGAGAAAGGAAATATCTGAAATTGGAAAGGGTTCAAAAAGCATGCCATTGTAAGGCCATGACATTCCTTGGATATGATGAGGGACGGACCACTCATAAACCATTTTGGTCCAAAGCCTGGTATAGTTGCTAATTTCAGGTTTTGCTAAAGTCAGATTTTGTGCTGAGAGGGCAGTTACCTTTAAAGCTTGAAGGGGCACATCAACACAAAAATCACCTATCAGGGTATAAATATGGTCCCCTCCATAGTGCTAAGTCTAGAAGCATCAAAACAGAAAACAAATTGAAGAAAATGCCTTCTTTTTCTTCAGTTTGTTCATGCAAATGCATTTGGCATATTCAGGGTTTAGGGTTTCTTTTTTTGGGATCATGTGGGCTGTCCTGTTGGTGTGGGGTGCACAGAGCAGCAACTTTAATACATTCTTTAAGGTAAATTGGTAATGACAAATACGTGCAGCATATGGGAAGACTTTTAAAAAACTTAAACAGAGTTAATTTGACTGTGACCTTTTCATGACTTAGCTAAGGTGTTACACTGTGGATCGATACAGATCCAGCCCCACAGCTCTCTATGGGTAACCTTGCTGACAAAAGATTCTGGGTCGTGGATCTGGGGAATCCAAAGACAGTCCAAAATATCAATAAATTTCTTGAAAAAAATTCAAATAAAAAATAAATTGTTACACCTCTATTTTTAAAGGAAAAACATAAACCTGGATCCTTTGTTTTTATTTTAGATGTATGGCCCTTGTATCTCAGTCAATTTTAAAATTGTTCTTTTGCAAGAATAGCCAATGGTTGGAAGGAAGTTTGAAATATAACATTTCAGCACTGATGAGAAATGGATGATTAGATCAATGAAGAAAAATATAATGAAGGGTCTGTTGAACATGTACTGTGCTTCTGATTTTAATTCAGCAAATAACTAGCTGTAAAAATCAATGATTTACATGTAAAACTAAAATGCAGTCTTACTCAGGACTTACAATAGTTGCACATAATTGCCTTTGTTTTCTTCATGGTGACCTTTTAGATGGTATTGTGTAATTATTTCCTTTGTAATAACTTTTTAATTTCAAACATGTCTTGAGGACCCAGGCTATGGCTCAGAGCACAACTCATTTTAGACTTATGGTTAAAAGTACAGTGAAGATAAGGTTTAGTATTAGGAGAGGCACAATGCCTAAATCTCCAGCTGTATTGAGGCTGAAAGAAGGTTGGCAAGAGGAGCAATATCCTGCAGAACAATTTCTCTGCTGACAGTTTTTTTTTATCTGGGTGATGGCTTCTGAATGTGGGCTCAGACTCAGCCCATCCTAGTGGTTGGGGTAAGGGTTTGGAGAGAGACAGTTTGCACTTTCTTCAGTCAACCTGATAATCAGTTTTTCATTTTCCCCTCTAAGAGAGCTCTGTATTTATAGGATATCCTTCCATCATATTTGAAGTTACACCCTTAGACTGGTATGATGGTTTTGTGTGCTAGGGACCTAGTTCCTTCAGCTTGCTGCAGTGAATTTACTTTTGACAACCAAGAAATTTGATTTTTATAATGAGGCATAAATCACAGGAAAGGGTTGTCTATAATGGACTTCAGCAGAGTTAGGAGCAAGAGTGCAGTAGTTCATATCGAGAGGATTTTAAAATAGCTGCACAGTAGAGGACAACCTCTTCATGGAGAAGGAGAATTTAGAGAAATTTGGGACCGCCAGGTAATAGTTACACAACTGGGAGGTTTAAAAACTGCTATTGTCTTGTTATGGTCCATTGTGGTTCTGGGATGGCGCTTGGTTTGATATATAGGAATGCCACTGGGCCAGGAAGCTGGCTGAGAACAGAAAGATGGGGTGAAGTGCAGCATGCCCAAAACAGCTGCAGTACACTGAGCTGAATGTTTGTTAAATTGAATTATACCTTTAAATTAATTCAATTGAATGTGAGAGGAGTGAATTATAAGTCATCCTTGGTGAGGCTATAAATATGGCTTGATAGAACCTACCACCACAAATAGGAAAAGCCAACAGTAATGTATTTGCATGTTTACATATCACTCCCCTGTGGTGGATTAGCAAGCAGAAAGAAGTCTAAAACCACAGGGGGAAGGTTTAAATAGGATGATGCAGACATTAGTGAATGATTAACTGTAATTTCACAAAGGTGGAGGGTAAGCCGTTCATTTTGCAGAATCTCACAAATGTGTTTTGAACGATTAACTAAATTTGCTTGGCAAAAGTTTAATTAAGGCTGCCACTGATTAACCACAATTGTTTAACTCGGTGTATAGATTGGCTGCACACACTGCGGGGAAAGCACAGCATTACCCGACACGAAGGTGCTCAAGGGCTCTTGGGAGTGTCTGTGCTGGCTACCCCTCTGACACCCCACCTCCAAAGAACAGAGGGAGATACTCAGAGAACATTACACAGCTCTCCTCTGGTAGCCTCTGACTGACTCCCCTTAATGGAGTGCGTACACATACCCAGTGTGCATACGCAGCCAGCGCCGTGGGCCTGTGCCCTGAACAGGGTCAAATCCCCAGTGCAATGATGGATGCTGCCTTCCCCACTCCTGGCACTGGGTCTTGTGTCTGCAAGTGAGCTCAAGGCAGGGAATGAACGGAGCTCCCTTGCCTTCTCCTTTGCTCCTGCTTCCTCCAACGCCCCTGCCCTCCCCTTCCGTCTTGTTGCTCTTGTTCATTATGAGCCTGAAAGTGATCTGTCCCTGGCTGGTTACAGCAATGTTTTCAAGTGCTGCTTACTGTCTTTTATGGGCAATACTATTTTGGCACAATTGGACACACTCATGAGAACAAGTGACAACTGTGTCATTTAATTGCTTTTTCTTTTTCCTTGTCAGAAGGAGAAAAAAAGACTACTGCTCTTAATGATAACTTATGACAAGAGCTGATTAGGAAATAAGTATTTCCTGGAAAGCATTTTGAGAGGAAGCACAAATTTGCCTTAAAAAAAAGAACAAAGAATTCTTTTCATGGGTTTATCACAACCTTCGTACCTGTCGTTTTACTCCACTATTAAACATTCTTCCATCTTTTCATGTCATAGATTCCAGTTTTACAATGAAGCTCTGGTTGTCTTTATCCCAAGCTCCCGTGAAGAGGTGTTGATTGTCACATAATGGCAGGCCAGGTGAATCTCTCTGATGGCTACTGAATGCAGCTCTTCCTTTTAAACAGCTCTGTGAATGTTATTATAAAATTAGTAGGAAAAATGGTACATTTCCATGGTTGACATAGTGACATTTCAGTTAAACACTGTTTATTAATGTTCCTTATGACTAAGAAGACTCCTGAAATCCAGGCAGGATTTCTGGGGCTTCCCAAGACTTGACAAAGATGTCTTACAGAAGCAGATCCTCCTGTAACTGCATCCGTTCTGATTTTAAGCCTAAATCATGCAGTTTACTAGTGTTCCATCCACTGGCTTGGTGTTCCTCCATATGCTTTGAATACTTCATATTTTGGAGACACTTGGTATTTTATTTATATCTCTCCTATACTGTGATGTTTGCAGAGTCATAGTGTTATTCAAGCAGTAATTTTGCATGTTTCAGGAATTGCAGCATTACTTCATTAGCAGTTTCTATCAATGCTCCGTTCCAAAAATATCTGTTACCTTGTTTAGAGTGATTTTCAAGCTAACACACAAAGTCACTGAAAGGCAAACAAACTCATTTTATTGTTCTCTTGAGAAAGCCATATGTCTTGCTCTATATTTGCACCCAAGGCCTAAATTTAATTTCTAATATACCAAGTATGGTATTTCTGTTCTTCTATTAGCAAGTTTTAGAAACTAGCTAATTTTTAGCCTGCTTGCTCTCTGTTTGTTTACCTTTAAATCATTACTTTATATAGCAGTACAAGAAACAACACAGTCATATATTATCATAGACACAAAAAGTTTAAAAAAAAAAAGGACTGGAAAACATGAATTATCTTTAGATCAGGTTATTAAGAGAGTTCATATCAATCTGCTTCCATGCTTTGTTTGTCCTTTGAATATTCATAAATAATTAGCTTATCTTCTTCTGTCAGTGTCTAAAATAAGGGACTAATGATGTCAGGCTAGCTTGCTTTGACATTTATGAAATATGCTATGATCTACCTGTAACTGATTGTAGGGGTTGCTGGAAGAGCATATTTTTAGATTGCTTCATTTTCTGTTATCAGAAAATCTGTCAGCCCTTAGCTGGGAGGCTTTAGCCATTCTCCTGCTTCAAGGAGGCGTCTACGTGTCATGCCCTTGAGAAGCATCTGTTGTTTAATTTTGTGAACCGATGTTTGGGTTAAACTGCGGAAGATTAGCCAGGTCCTCCGCCTTTTTTTTGTTCCCCCTCCTGTTCTTCTGAGCCCCCAGGGCCTCGCAGGGAGCTGAGTGATGTCTCTGGGACAGACATCACAGCCTGTCAGCTGGGTGCCCAAGGAGGGCCTTGGGACCAGGGTGAAGAGAGAAGCAGAGGAAAAGCAGGTTGGTTGGCAGTAGTTCCCCCTGTTCTCCGACCTTCTGAGGCTCAAGGTAACCCATTCCCTTGCTTCTTGAGGCATCAGCTTTGAAGTGAGCTTTCCTTCCCTCCCAGAGGCAGGGTTTAGACCCCTCCC